CTAACAATCGGTACTCAGACTCTGCGCACCGTCGACGCCTCATCCAAGAAAGGGGTCCCTGGTCTGTTTGGATGTGTTTGCCCACCGGCACGGAAGATCTAGGCAGGGCCAGTTTCGGGCTGGACGGGTACCTTCCGATAAGGTGCCAATGCCAAATGAGCAGGTTGGGCAGGGGGGAAGAGCAGGCAGACAGAATTGCACCTGGTTACTCTCGGGGTTTTGGAGGATGCTAACTTCAGGTGGCCATTAGCGTCGCTCCGCCACTTGTTGCATGCGTTCGCGCGCGCACACGCAACCGCAGCCGTAACAGCAACAGGAAGACCGAACGAGAGAGAAAGAGCGAGAGAGAGACGGCCACGCAGCACCTGCGATCCCACACTCAGCTCACACCCGTGTGTCTCCTGCCGGTTCTCTTCTTTGCTTCACGCTCGGCTTCCTCTTTCGTCCTAACAACGGCCCTTTCCAAAACCTCGGACGATTCATCATGACATACTCTTTCCGCCCCTCGCTCTTTTAGCCTTGCAGCGACAGCAACGACGCTCCAAACGCGAAGCAAGCGGGCTGTCCTGGCCCATCATGGACAACAGCACCGACACCCGCCGGGAAGAGGAAGGGGGATCACGGTCGTCTATTGACAAACCCCCCATCCTTACCCCAGATCCCGCTTTTGATCGCCTGCCCGACGAGATCATCGAACAGTCTGTCATTGCTGCCGCCATGCTTGACTCTGCTCTTCGCTGACATGGCCTCAGGATTCTCCAGCTTACCGATCCCGACTCCTTCGCGTCCCTCGTCCTCCTCAACTCGAAATGGCGCTCCGTATCTCAGCAGGCCCAACTCTACGCCCTCCACCTTTCGAGATGCCAGTCCTACTCCTCCAGCCATCCTCCCCTCCGCGAAGCCGACGTCAAGGATGAAGACCTGCCGCGCCTCAGGCGCCTGTTCGCCAGGGAGGTCAAGCGCAATCTCTTCGAGGCATACTTGCGACCGCGCGAAACCGTAATCAAGCTTATATCCAATTCCATCAGCTCCTCGTCATGTCCTGGCGGCGAAGGCATGCAGTTCAGCCCGTCTCCTCGCGGCCATCATATCCTAGCCTACAACTCGTCGCGTATTTATGTCCTCGATGTGCGCGGGAAGGATATCGACGTCAAGAGGGAATTCAAGATACTGCGTCGGCCCGTTTCGACTTGTATCAAGGATGATGGCTCTATGCTGGCTGTTTTGTCTTCCGAGATGCAGGTTGACCTCTACGACCTTGAGCAGTACCCGCCTCGTCGCACCCAGTCTTTGATATTGGATAACCCGCCGCGCACCATTGCGCTCTCCCCGTGTGGTTCTGTTCTCGCTGCTGCTTACGAAGGAGGCATCGAGGTATCCCTGGTCAACCCCGGCGCGCTACCCACGGATAGAAGGGCGGTGAAATGTGATGGGGTCGACGCCCTGTCTTTCTCTTTCGACGGCACTCAGATTCTCGGAACCACCATCTACTCGTCGCCGCCAACCACGGTCATCCTGACGGCCCCTTACTACGACCCCGGCAACCAGATGGCCGATGATAGCATCAGCGCGCTATGGACGACGTCGATCCTGTTTCCTAACACGAGCCGTGATTGCAGCCATGCCGTGCTGCTGCAAGACTCGGGCCAAGAGGAGGCTAGCTGGACCTTTACTTATGACCGCAGCTTCGAGACTTTCAGAGCTGTACGGATTGACGACCTGCGAAACGGCACCACTTACTTTACGGGACCGAAACCTAACCCGGGTTCTCAGGCCAAGCTTACACCTTGTACTTTGCCTGCGGCTACCTTTCACGGAGACCTCGTCAGCGCTGGATTCCAGGGGAAAGACATTTGGCTGTACGGCGTGCCGGAAGATCTCGATGCCGTGCCCGAATTCAACGCCGCAGGAGCCGATGGCTTGTCGGCCTTGGCCGGACAAGGACGGAGAAACAGCGGGCCTCCGTCACGATCGTCATCATCTCGGGCGCAAGAAAACCCTCGGGTACCACAGTGGCAAATGCTATGCGATAAGCTTCGAAACACCTTCGTCTGGGGGGCCAAGATTGCAGAGCTCGACGGTGTCAGCACAGTAAAGTGGGTTGCTGGCTTTGGGGAGACGTCGGTACAGGAGCGTCTAGTTATTGCAGCTCGCGGCATCTCGCCTGGAAAGTCCATTCTCGAAGAGGACGACATCGACTTCATCGACGGTGGGAGAGTTACCCTCCTTGACTTCGACTACAGCCTTGATGACGGCCAAAGGACAGAGATCGAGATTGAGGTGGGAACGAAAAAGCCCGAAGTACTCGAAGAGGAACAGAGAGATATAGACACCGAGGTCGCCATCGTGCGCCGCAGGACCGTGGCTCAAAGGCGAGGGGATCGCGGCGCCTTGATGCGTGCTGCTACGAGTGCGGCCATTCGAGGGAACCCCTTGCCCCCGATGCCTGCTATGCCGCCCATGCCCATGCCGCCCATGCCGCCCATGCCACAGCCCAGAGAGGATCCCGACGCCAGAAATGAAGACGACGACGACCCGCTCGTTCCGAGACGCCTTGGGGCACCGCCGCGGATTAACGTTCAGGAGCCGGTCTCGTCTTCAGCTCCTCAAGCAGGCGAAAGCGCTTCGATGATCGAAGAGGAGGAGGAGGAGGAGGCCGAGGAAGCCGTGGAAGCTCCCTACTCTCACGATGGACCCCGATCCACTAACACTCTTCGCCGCGCAGCCACCGCTGCTGCCATGAACCGAAGCCGCAACCCTCAAGCGCCAGCTGCCGGACCGGTAGAGTATCGGCGAGCAGATGGCCGACGCGAGCACCCGCACGAGAGTGATGCAGACAACTGGGTCCCACCACCGCCCCCGTACCAAAAAGATGACCCGGGTGACTTGCCTGCATTCCTGCGAAACGCCGTCATCACGCCCGGTGGCGTGCAAATCCAAAGCCAGCCAGCAAGGACTCAAACAGCCGCGCCAGCCATCGGGGCATCGGCTTGGCCTCTTCCAGAACGCCCGACCCTTCCCCAGACATCAGGCCGTCCTCTGAGTTACCAAGAGCCTGCTAAGAGCCCGCCTGCTAATGCCACTCATCATCTCCGTATCGCTAGCGACACGACAACGCTGTTGAGCCGCCCGCGCACTGCAGACTCGGCTCGCCCAACGTCCAGCCCCTCTGCTCATGTTGACGCCGATGACGATATCTACGACGTCTCGCCACCAGATTCACCGCGTGTAGCTGCAAGGGGGCCAAACGAAGCTGAGGCAATCTCACCCGAAGACCAGCGCATGGTCAGCGAGTCTTCAGTGCATCAGGCATCCAACGATGATACCCTGCAAGATTCTCAAGCGGAGACTCCAGAGGATTCGCCCATCACTTTGGCGGCCCAGCAGGCACAGTCACCTCCTTCCCTGGGTCTCCAAATACCCTCAAGTACGTCCTCGAACGCAGCGGAGCTACAGCAGCCTCAGCCAGCACCCGCTGCCGACATACCAATGGTTAGACGCTTGTCCAACGCGCAAACCTGGCCAAGATCTGCTCAGCCGCTGGACGGCCCTCGCTTGCATCCAGAGGGCGGGGCCTCGAGCAGCCATCCATACTCTGCTCCTCCGACGAATGCAAGGGTCGACGAGATCATGGGGGCTGCGCTACCGGTTCCTCCTGGAGCGAATCAGTTGGCTCATCCTCAAAACCATGAGCAGCCACACCCATCCCGGCCTTGGTCTGGCAACTTCAGTTCAGTTCAGCGTGTCCCAGTCGGCAGTCGCAGGCCTGGCTCTCGCCGGGCATCTGTACCGCAACCTACCATTCAGCCTGACTCGCAAGTTGCGATGCCGGGCCATGGCGGCAGACTACCGATCGAGGATCAGCCGCTGATCATAAGCACGCCTAGCGGCGTAACGGGCGCCTACGATGCGCCTACGCGCCAGCAATCGAATCGCAGAAACGAAATGCCCCTGTTGGCTCCCATTCCGCGTCACCCACGCCCAACTCAGTCAGGCCCTGTACGGCCTACTGTAGAACGCCTGGAGACTATTTACAGCGCCAATACCCATGCCAACCCTGGCCGAACTTCCAACGGCGAGGCATCTGGCAGCAGGAGCCTCATACCAGCGTGGTTACAGGCGCCATCAACTTCATCTGCGGGTCGGCAGTCGCACTCGTCGGTCAACAGAAGGCCCAGTCGTGCTGAGCGGAGCGCAGCCAAGAACATCAAAGACGCCAAGCGACGGGGCTGGAATGGTTCAAAGAAGAAGAAGAAGAGCAAAAAGGTCGATCACGAGGTTGCCAGTTCTGCCGCGTGGACGGATGTGTCCGCTGCAAGCAGGGGCGGAACCTCTGGCAAGCCAGAAAAGGACAAGAAGTGTGCTGTCATGTGAGAGTGTTGGGAAAACCCGATGGGCACGTTGGTGCGCCTACGTCCTTGTCTTGTTTTGGGTGCCTGGATCTTCATGACTGGGAGTTTAGCATTGGAGTTGCGGGATGGAAGAACACATTTGATAGCTAGAATGGCTTTTGGTCTAGACCACCAAGACAATAGGTTGAGCATGGGAAGGAAAAGAGCTAGGATATGCTTTACGTTCTCACCCGTGCTGGAATATACAGAACAGCCGCAACTACTCACTCGCTCAAAATTAATAGATGGTTGGGTGTACGTCGACCCATGATACCAATTTCTTTCCGCAAACTACCTCGCATAACTCGATTGGGTTCGGAAATCCGAAAACTGTCAATGCGTACCAATGTCAGCTGCACCTCACAATCCCAGCGTTAAACCACGCGGGTCAGAAGGCGATGTCCTCTCGGGCCTCGCTCCATTTCAGATACCGCGGCACGACCACCCATACAAAGCTATCAAAAGACCAAAGTGTATGTAAAGCGTTGGACCCTGGACGTAACCTCTCGAGACTTGTGGCTCGCAGCCCAAAAAAACAAACCCGTGCGAAAGTGGGGGTGCCCTGTTTCCGCCCTACTTATAACACAAACCCACCAGTCTTCCCAACAAGGTAACTTGGCCGAGCGGTCTAAGGCGCCAGACTCAAGCGTAAGCTTCATCCTTCTCAAAGGATGAGTATTCTGGTCTCGCAAGAGGCGTGAGTTCGAATCTCACAGTTATCATTTTGGCAGTCTTTTTGTGCGCCACGGCTTCAAGCTTCTCCCCAGCGGAGGGGCCACCAGGTGTTTAGTCCCGATGCAGTGAAAAACAATAGTGAGTGGTGATGTGGATGGTCGTTGTATTTTGCAACTCTGGCGGTTTTGCACCGTGCACGGAAAATAGTGAAAAACGATTGGTCCAAGAGGAGCGGTTGTCAATTCAACGTCTTACTATCCCACCCACGTGTGAAGAATTCTGAGGCCACGCTCGTCACCATAAGACGTTCTGGGTGGAAGTCTGGCTGCTGCTCAACATCATTCTCGCTCGTGGCCAAGATTCGCTCTCGTGACAGCCTTGGCCACACCCGAGAGCAGCCAACCGCCAATCTCCTCGATTCCACTTGAACCCCGAAACAGTGTCCTCTTGGTAACGGCCCGAGGGGTATACAGTCAGAACATGACGTTCTTGTCCACGGGTCGGTGCTGTGGCTGTGCGGCTGGCATTCGGTGCATCTCTCCACGAGGCCTACGGGCGTGGAGACGAAAGGGCAGTTCGCGTTGGAGGTCTTCCTGGCAATGTGCTTCTTCCTCCTTCTGGGGGTCGTCCACGTGGCTGAAATCACGCAGAAGCACCCGAGTGTCAATTTTTTTAAAGTTCGCTGCTTGGTTCGAGTAGAAGTTGACCAAGTTCTCTCCTGTTGTACTGGTTAGTTGCTGGTTCCTGGAGCCGTAGCCCTTCGCGGATGGTGGGATTGTTCAAGCTGGCACACCAATGCTTGCTTGCCTCGATCGAGCACATCGCCCTCGCACTTTGACCCTGCAATGCTATACGCAGGCTGCAGGTCGTGAAAGCCATCAGACGAACAGCCGTGTTGATCTACTCATTCCATCAGGCCAGGCCGGATCCGTCTTCGTTCCTGGCTCCCTCGACTCGCGCGGCCTTCTCCCTCTCCACAAATCCAGCGGGGGCGTTCGAAATTGCCTACCCCTGCTCCATCAGATAACTTTTTCCTGCGTTTGTTTCCGCATCTGATAACCAACCCGTCGGCCATCCCGCGCGGGGCCCAAACCTCCCCATCCTCGTGTCCGTTCCAGGGTTCAAGGTCCCTTCTTCTCATCTCGGGCCGGGCAAAATGAACGTCGTCGCCAGAGGCTAGAACCGACTCGGCCGAGTCCATAGAGCTAGCGACTTCTCCCCATCCGCACTTGCAGCTGCAAAATTCCTCATGCAGGAGAGGCTCTACGAACTGCAGAGGGGCCCGTCCGGAAGACGCCGCCACAACCCAAGAGCCGGGCAGAGCTGCTCCTTTGGGCCAGGGACCCGATGCAAAAGATCCGTCTTGACGTCTTGGCGATTCTGGAGCTCGTCTTTTCCCTCCATTTCGATTCGAACAGAGATATTACCTCCACGTAACGGGGTCAATAAACAGTCAACCCTGAACGGGGAAAGGGTCCAGTGCGGTGATGCGTATTAAAGGAACGGCAACAGCCGTTCGAGCCGGCGGGCTCTGGGGTTCCGCTGAATAGATTGCAACCCTTTCTGTCTCTCTTTCGTTTCTCTAGTTGCCCGTCGCTCGTTTGACTTTGTGTCCTTGCAATCGAGGGAGACTCTTGAATTACTCGACGCGATGAAGGGAGGAGCTGTCGCCATTATGGGCGGCATCGCCGCGTTGGCGCAAGTCGCAGAGGCCGCGTACATCTGGCCCTCAAAATACGATGAGATTGAAGACATCCTGTCCTTGCAGACGGGGTATCGCAGCAGGGGCTTCGTTGAGGGTTCGTGATCCCCCTCCCCTCTAGCCACGCCGAGAGCGCTGTACCTGGGACTGACGGGCACAAAACTAGGCGTGACCCCGTGCTCGTTTGGCGGCAACATCGCGGGGCGCCAGTTCGCCGCTGAATGGATCCGCACAGCCTTCCACGACGTCGCCACGACGGACGCGGCCGCCGGCGCCGGCGGCCTGGACGGCTCCATCTGGTTCGAGCTCGACCGCGCCGAGAACGGCGGCGCCGCCTTCAACAACACCTTCAGCTTCTTCAGCAACCTCTACTCCGTCCGGGCCTCGGCGGCGGACCTGCTGGCCATGAGCGTCGTCGTCGCCAACGCGGGCTGCGGCGGCGCGCGGATGCCGTTCCGCGCGGGACGGATCGACGCCGTCGAGGCCGGTCCTGCGGGCGTGCCGGAGCCGGACACGCCGCTCGACACGACGCGGAGCACCTTTTCCCGAGCTGGCTTCAGCGAGAGCGAGATGATTGCGCTGGTGGCGTGCGGGCATACCCTTGGCGGCGTGCACAGCAGGAACAACCCGCACATCACAGGCCTTGACCCAACCCCGGACACGGTGACCAAGTTCGACAGCACGTTTGATGACTTTGACAACAAGATTGCGACGGAGTACATCAGGGGCAACACGACGAACCCTCTGGTGGTTGGGAAGAACGAGACGCTTAACTCAGATAAGCGCATCTTTGCGTCAGATGGGAACAAGACGATCCGGGATCTGGGGTGTACGAAGAACGGGTTCAAGACGGCGTGCTCCGACGTCTTCACGCGCATGATTGACACGGTGCCCTCGGCGGTGCGGCTGACGGAGCCGATCGAGGCTGTTGACATCAAGCCTTACGTGGGGTTGGCGTTGAGTGGGAATGGGAGCATTGCGCTTAGTGGTCTGGTGCGCATCAGAACGACGGAAGGTACCGGGCGTGACGCGAGCGATCTGGCCGTTCACTTGAGCTTCGCAGACCGCGATGGAGAAGGCTCCGTCGCCGTTCCGACGGCGCTCGACGAAGGGGGCGTGACGTACGGTCTCTGGGGGGAGACGTTTGTCTGGTACCAGTTCGAGACGGCCATCCCCGCCGCGAGCGGCATCAGCAAGTTTCTCATCCACCTGACGACCCCCTCCAACAACGCGACGACCGTGTACAGGAACGATGGCGGCGGATACGCCTTGGACGATGCGCTGTTGTACCAGGCGTCCGCGTCGTGCGTCAACCGGACGAGCGTGAACAACGAGCGCACATTCACCGTCACGGCAGCGGTGCGCAAGGACCGCGCCGCGGACCCCGTGACGATGGAGCTTGTGCGGCTCGTGAGACGGCAGGGGATCATCCACCGGAAGCTCGAGATCGAGAGCGTCACACTCGCGGCGACGGGAGAGGAAGAGAGCGGGTACGTCGTCTTCCAGGGACAGATGCAGCTTGCGACGAGCGGATGGAGCACGAGCTTTGATCTCGTTTTGGGCGGGGAAAAGGAGGTCAGAGTCGACTTTCTGAAGACGCAAACGTGTCCGCGTGTGTAAAGTTGATCACAGGAGATGGGTATTTCTCTGCTTGGTCGCTGCCAGCAACGGGCCAGAGAACGATACACTTGAACCAGGAACGAACATCATGAAGCTCTCCAAATCGCCGCCATTAGGCCATGTTGTCGAGGTTACTAGTTATCCGATAAGCGGCATATACACTATCCAGTAGCTCTCATCCATGTCTTCGAAACAAAACTACGGCGGCGAAGAGAGGAAAGATCGGGGAGAAGCTGGGTGAGACGAGAGGATACCGCCCCGTCGCCTGCCAAGCAAACCTGTTCAGCCTTTTCGATTTCAAAAGGCATTCAGCACCAACCTAGATACGGCCATTACGAGACACGTTTTAGTTGGCTGCGCTGAGCCAAGTAAATTGACAGGGCATAGAGCCTATCTTTGGAAACCCTCGAGCATGGAATAAAGCAGGGATGGGCTGTGGGACCGTACGATCATCATCGGTACCAAGAGCAACGCCGGTTGTCCCTTGCTTTGTTTGGGTATCGGCGTTGATCTCCCCGATGATCACTCAATCGTTCTAGTAGATTGTCATTTCGCTTGGCTTGTGGTTATGTCTCATCCACACAAGCATGTTAACCTGTTGAACGGCAAGGCGATATGCTTTTTTTATGATTCCGAGATATCATGCTGTTCTATTGCCAGCTCTTGTTTGGCTAATCGGTACCCCGTTGTTCTCCCTGGTGATGCGAACGCAAGGCGCATCCAAGGTAGCCCAAGACCAATGCAGAGGGCAACGCACGACCAAGGTTGTGTCGATGGAGTTGGCGAATGGCAGCCCCTTCCAATCTGACAAAAGTATGACATGTTAAGACGCTCGATCGGACCAGCAATTTTGTACAAAGGCAACCGCATGTTCGGAATTCAAAGAGACACCAGGGAGGCCACGCCGTGTCCCCTCAAGTATCTGACTGTAGTCACGGTAGTTTCCACATGACACGTGCGTTCGACAGAGTCGTAAAAAATGGCCAAACATTGAGAAAGCATTAAGTATGTGATCTTTGACTGGAATTGGCCGTCCCTTCGGCATGCCCACCGTCCATCTCCCTTTGAACAAACGGCATAACCTGACGGCAAACCTTGCCCTGCTCACGAAGAAACACGACGACCATACACGGGAAATGAAAGAAGGCTTATCAATCGAATCACGGCCTTGGGATAACTGCATTCGATAGGCAATCTGTTTGGCCCAGATGCTTCAAACGATGACACTTAATCTGCAATCAAGGACCAAACAGTCGACGGTCGGCTCCGGTTTGTAGGCAGAGCCCTGGCGCGGGGCCCACGCTGATCAAGAAGAATCCTGCCAGGATAAGCAGCCAATGCTGTTCAAGAGTCCCTCCGCACACCACTTGGGTCCCGAGGCAAAGAGGCGCTGCAGGCGACTACCACATTCGAGAACCAAACCTGGGGACGACCAGGTTGGCGGTACCCTTGGGGTCTGCTGTTCATGGTGCTGAAGTGGGGTTCAATCGGAAATCGGGAGAGCATCCCCGTGGTGTTGCGTCAAGGCCACGGAATTGGTCGATGATTAGGTGAGGGAAAGCCGCCAGGATGAAGCACTTGAGGTACAGCATTTTGAAAAGTAGGTCTCATAGGCCGGGGCCACGCCATACCATGCCACTCCCATACGACTGTCCTGCTGTGCCGCACATCTCGTGCGAAGGGAAGGCATCATGAACACGGCGTATGGAAGGATTCTGCGATGGC